ATTACTTCCTGCTTTCTAAAAATAATTTATTGCATGGATAATAAACTCTAAATTATTATAGAATTAATCAAAATATTAAAATATAATATGCACCATATGTGTGTGTGTGTGTATGTGGTGCATATTATTCTAAAAATAACAATCTCATACATATTAGTATACTACTATTGTAATATTAAGAAAACTTCTCATGAGTCATGACTTACGAACACCCTCCTTGGTGGACAAAAATTACAATTCAATAACCGATTCATGAGGTTAAACAATGTAGAAGTTATTAAAAATGTATTAATTGATGTCTTTGTCATCGCCTAAACTTAGAATGTAATAGATTTAAATGTCGTTCAAGATGTGCATGAATTAAATCATTTTTTGAATAAAAATAGCTGCACAGCCCTACAGTAGCGAAAAAATTTCGCCCCGCTATACTAGGGAAAAAAATTTCACCCCGCTACACTAACACTCAAAAATTCACCCCCTACACTAACGAAAAATTTCGCCCCCCTTGACTCAGAATCCTGGATTCGTCCCTGCCCGTACGGGTAGCTCAGTTGGTTGAGTGATGATCTGAGAAAGCTAGAAAATTGATCAAGGATCGAACCTAAGCTAGTAGCGACCCTATATAGGTTACAACTCTTGCATGTTGGATTGGACCTCTAATGCGCACGGGTACAAGATCTACCACCATTGGACTGACTGAGTCACTATGACTTATTTCCTCCCAAATGTCTTGTCAGGTCAGGGTGTAAAGGGCCCTTAAGTTGGAGATTCAACCTTTTGGAACATATATGAAAAAGAGTATTTTGTACGCCTAACTTTAATGTTTTTGGTTCATTTACCATTGTTAGAAAATACTATCTCCATTCCCTTTTAGTTAGACAACTTTTCTGTCAAAGATGATAAATTTTGATTAATTATTTTAATCACTATATACATTTAAAAAATAATATTATTTTTTTAGTTTTATGCTAGTACTTTTGATAAAGAACACTACAAAAAATACGAGATTGACATGAATTGTTTAGAGGGATTCGCCAAAATTCAGAGGATTTGGCAATTATGTGACAACTATGTGCCTAGAACACTTTAGCACGAGCTAATTGGCACGAAATCATCAGTGCATTCGTGCTAGATCCATGCTAATCCTATAATTTTTTTGTAGTGAGATATTTTAATATTAATTTCATATTATAATGATTTTCATATATAAATATATTATCATTCAATGTTTATTCAATGATTTAACATCATTAACTTGAAAAGATGGATAACTAAAAAGAAACACAGAGTGTAATACTAATATATGAGCAATTAAAATTTGATAGTGCTTTTCGTTTCATGTGAAAATGTTTGTTCTACAATTTGGCAGTTTTTGAAAGAAAAGGGCTTTAGTTTTTTATGAACTGTTGAACACAACAATAACTAAGCAAACTGACTTATTGAGCAAACTGATTTGTTTAGTGATTTGTTCATTTTAAAGAGGTAAAAAGATTAAAATTCTAATCATTAATCTTAAATTGAGCTATACCATCACATATCATTTGAAACTAATGATTGAGCATTCAATATGGTTTTATTACGATTAATTAATATAATAGTGTATATGCTGTAATAGTGTATTACTTAATACTTACTTATGATCATGTGTATTTAAGAGTGTTTGAAATTCTTTCTGATTTACTTTTTTCTAAATCAAAATCGGAAGTAGTTTTTTAAATGTTGGTCTTCCTCAACTTCTAACAATTGCTTGATCTAGGATTGTTTTGGACACCCAAAGTACTTCTGCACATTTATCCAAATAACTCCAATATCTGATTTTGCTCTTTGAAGGAGCAGAATCAATTTGAGACGTAGATCGAAATACTTTCTTAATTTGGTGCAGGGCCATGCTTACCTTGAGGCGGATGAGGCATGGGCCTCAAGGCCCCAAAAATATTAAAATTCTAGGTGTCTAAAATTTTAGATAGTTTAATTTTATAGTATCATTAGTATGTATATATATGCGTATTTTAATTTACAAATTGGCCTCCTTGTGTGTTGATGGCCTGCTGTACTTCAAACGTCAAAACCTAATTACCAAATAAAGCCGGCCATTAAAATTTAACCAGGTGCAACAGTTGCCAACAATACATACTTCTTCCGTTTCAGTTTGTTTGACACACTTTTCTTTTTTGGATGTTTCAAAATGAATGCCATACTTCCTTATTTCCTTATTTGGTAAACAAATCTTTACCAAAACAGTGCAAAACAGTGCCAAATAGTGCCAAACAGTGTTTAAACAGTGTCAAACAGTGTTCAAACAGTGTCAAAACAGTAAAATTTACCCTCTTCAATAATTTTTTTTCTTAATTCTTGACAAGTCAAACTGTGTCAAACAAATCGAAACGGAGGGAGTATTGAAGAAGGGGGTTTAGAAAATATTTTGATTTGCAATTCCGTCCGGTCCGGCTAGACTAATCAACCAACAGGGCAAAAGCGAATAACTCAAGTCTCAAGGCCAATCTTTCGTCTTTTTGCTTACCTTCTAAATATCTACTACTACGTATTTTTAATTTACGGAGTCATTTTTAATTTATATTTATACACATATACAGTATCGACTGAAAAATACAATTGTAGGATTTAAAACTACCACAACACAAAAAACTCCGGTTATGATTAAGTTGTGATGTGCATTGTGTTAGAAACTTGAGAAGTGGGTCGGTACGGTGGAGAATGATTAAATTTAGGAGTAATTCGGGATTGCACTCCATTTTGTTGTCCAAATTTTAGACTTTACATCCCGTTAATAAAAATTCTTTGTAATTGCACCTCAACCCCGTATGAAAAAACAAAAATGCTCTTCCGTTAATAATTCTGTTGCCCTTCGACATATTCCTGATCGAGGACATTTTTGTCTTCTCATACAGGGTTGGGGTGCAAATACAAAGAATTCTTAAAACGGGGTGCAAAGTTCAATTTGGATAATAAAATGAGGTGCAAACTCAAATTACCCTTTGCATTTAACTATTAAATATTAATCAATATTCATATAAGTAGTATAAAATATGTTAAGAATTTTATGATTTCACTCCATTCATATGTTTTTAGCTTTTAAACTTGTAAAGCCATTTATCGTCTGGTGTACATTATGAGACTTGAAAGTCAGGGAGCTTTTGGCCGAAATTTATCTGGATATCCATAATTGAAAACTTTTTTCCTAGATTTTCACTTTTTCGAATGTTTAAATTTTAATTGCTTTCATTGTATAATATACATGGTGACAAGTCAAGAAATTATTGTTGAGTACAAACTTCAAAGTATGGTGCCTTTTAATGAAGTTCCGACACCGATTTGGTGTTATGCAGGTTCTAATGCAAGGAGGGGGGGCGCTGAGATGACAGAGCTACGAAGAGTGTACATGAAGTATGCCGCGGATGGGTTCCTGGATATGGTTCTGGGCATGGCAATGGTAGTTTCTTATTGTTTGCCTCTCATGATTAGCCGACACCAAGAAACAACAAGCCATGGGATGATAGCCCTCTTCTTATTTGGAGCATTGTTACCCTTGCCACTTCTTCTCCTTTCTTATTTCCTACTTAACCTCTTTCTCATGGTCGTGACTCGCCGCTTTGTGCATCTACTTGACGGTGGCCGTGGAGATGTGATTGATGAGTGGAGGAAAAACAAATTTGTGCAATATCTTCTCACTCTAAATCCAAATGCATACCGTTCTTTGAAAGATATTGATAATCGACGCCGTAGTGATGAAAACGATTTTGAGCAAGGAAACAACTTCCGTACTACCGCCGCCGCCTCCTCCGCCATCATTCTCTCTTACCCTCAACCTCATGATGATGATGAGAGCCATACAAACACTACATCCGCCGCCATCGTTCTCTCTTATCCTCAATCGCAAAATCTCACACATGGCAATACAAACACAACCACAGCCATCGTTGCCTCTTCTCCTCCAATTAATGAAGTCTAGCACTTAATTCAATTGAGTACAAAATTGTTAGAAGCATGCATGACCAAGAACGGAGTTGGTTCATGCAATTCGAGAATATGACTAGATGAGAAGTATTATTTTTAAAAGATTCTATATTCGAATATCTAATAGTATTAATTTCGTTTTTAATTTCAACAATATGGTGGTTATAGTTTTCATCATTATGTTAATAATTAAAAAAGAATTGTATGAAGATGCAAAAAAATACAAAGTATTAAAACAATTGCTTTTGGGGCTTAGAATTTTAATCATTATCTCAACATTGAGTTTAAAAAAATAAATATTACATTTTAGAAAATGGGACATGATTTTTTTTATCAAATATATTTGAAGACAAATTAGTTGCAATTTGGCTGATTTATCTATTAAGTGGGCAAAAAATGGATACTCCATTTCTTCAATAGAACGTACGGAGTAATACGTAGTAAAAAATACCCGAGGCTCGGCCCGGCCCTGACCCGGGAGTTACACGGGCCGGTTCCAGGCCCTCCAATCCATATTGGAGGGTTACACGGGTTACCCGAGGCCCGACCCGAACCGAGTCCATCCATATTCACAATGATAATCTTTAAAATAATCTTACACATCATCCAATTAAACTCTAAATAAACTAATGGATAAGATGCTCTAATGAAAACATGGGAGATTTTGTCGTGTTTGGACTTTGAAGGGTGACAGGTAGAGACCGGAGACCATCAGTTTTGTTAAGAAATACGAGTAACACTTTTCAATTTGGACGCATAGAGTATAATCAGTTTGGGTGATTCTATGAGAGATAGGTCGTCAAAAATACCAATAAAATTACAGCTTACACTTATTTTGGGTAACACAGTTTATAAATTTAGAAAAAACATGTTGACTTTTCTTTTACACCTAGTATATTGATGTTTATTTTGTTTATTATTAATAATATTATTATATTATCCATGTCAATAACACAGTCCATCTGATGAGTACTTTTTACTGAGGTAAAAATGGACGAATTGCTGTTTTTTAATCAGTTGTGGTGTCTCTTAAAAGGCTTAATTGCAGAATCATAAAAAGTTGGGAGCTTATTGCCTTATTTGCCCCCTTCGCATTCAAGCACACTTCCGTCAGAAAGTATCCCAAAAGGAACCGTGATGTAAAGAATCTCGTTAACCAAAAGCAGCAACCATAACAAAAAATTGGTGTGCTGTTTCAAACCAAAATTCATTTCATGTGTCGAGTACAGGAATGTGTATTTTATTTATGATGTGTTACTAAAACAACATCATATCGACAGTGCTTGCCACTCCAATGTTTCACCAGCAAACATGGGGACAACATCCCCTAAAGCGTAAGAATACGACTCCGGTACCTTCCACGGGGTTTTAGTCAGTTTAATCTTTCTTGAGTTTCTAGGGAGCCCATAAAAATCAGGTCCATTAAAGCTAGTAAATGCTTCTAGCTTGTCAAGCGCGCCAGCCTGAAGGAGGAAAAACCATCAATATGGCTATGTCAAAATGTAAATAATTAATTCCATTTTTAGTTCAGACACTCCTAAATTTAGTCCTTAACTTTCATTATTCCCCACTTTTGGTTCCACAACTATAGATTTTTATCTCTTACGATCCTTCCGACCGCCTTTCAGTGAAAAGCAACCGAAAATTGTATAAAAATTGAGCTGGTAAGTTGCCGGAAGGACCATAAATGGCAAAAAAAACTGTGGTTGTGGCACCAAAACTGAAAAAATGAAGACCAAACGAATGTCCTTATAATGGTGGAAGTAAAGTGGAATTAATTCGAACATAAACACACAATGGCACTTCAGAAATACTAACCTCCTCAAAAACCTTTGTATAAACAGATAAGGCTACAGGAGCACTGTAAATACCAGCGCAACCACATTGAGATTCTTTCTTCCGCCTATCATGTGGAGCGCTATCAGTCCCAACAAAAAATTTTCTACTGCCACTTGTCACAGCTGACACAATAGCTTGTCCTGTATTAAAAACGTGCACACACATTAGTGGAAAGCATGTTGAGTCTGTTGGAACAATTACTAAGGGGGGAATGAGGAAACAAATAGAAGAAACTGGAAGAAAAGATAAGAAGATAAGAAGATAAGGTCCCTATTCCCTTGGACATATTTCAATCTCATATCAATCAAACAAGACTTAATCAGGTCACATCATACCAGACTTAAACAAATCAAACCAGATCAGACAACAAATAATACTCCCTGGTTCCGTATTACTTGTCATACTTTCTTGTTTGTGCTGTTTCAAACTACTGCCTCATTTCCCTTTTGGAAATGGTTATTTAAAAAAAGCTGCTACATTATACCTTCAGAAACTGTACAGTACCAAAAAGTAAAACAATCCCCGAAAAAAACCCTTTCTCTTAACGCTACAAACATTTCATTAAACTATGTAACAACTATATATTTTTATTGGAAATTATTTATAATATAAAAAGATATGAATTTTGGGACAGAGGTATAAAAAGATATGAATTTTATGGAAGTTATAAAATATATAACTTCCATAGTATTATACTCATCAAAATCATGGTCCAAACTTTATAAGATGGCAAAGTTTTTTGGGACAGAGGTATATCATACCAAACCAGAACAAACAAGACAAGGCTAGATATAAACAAACTAAACCCTACATGACACAGACACACTAGAGTACTAGACTAATTCACACCAGACTAGAAAACTCATGTCTAAATGAGCAGGTCCTAACTTTCCTTAGCCATTTGCTTCCTTTTAGAAAATATAGGAATTTGGGATCACATACTGTGGATCTCTCTTTTAAGTACAGGAAGGCAGTAATTGTGTGGGTGCAACCCGCCTTGAAACAAAGAATTCCTGTTTAGGACAAGATGTTGTGGAGTGATGGTAGCTGCAACATATCCTATAAACAAATAAAAAACAAGTCAAACTTGAGCAATAGTTATTGAGAGTAAAGTGGGAAAAGGAAAATTTTAGTGATAATACCTTCTCGACAAGATTCTACAAAATTCACAGCATCCAAGGTGGTGACATGCTCCATCACAATCTTCAACTGTGGAAGCCTTTGCACCAAAGGCCCTAAAACTGCTTCAATAAATACCTTTTCTCGATCAAATACATCGACCTCAGGGCTCGTTACCTCTCCATGGACCTGAAGTTAACATCTCTTATAGCTAAAGAATCCATTTGGATCTCGGAAAATGCTATAGAAAGAAAACAGGGAGGATAATATATGAAAAACTTGGAAGGAAAAGAATGTGGGGGATATAACAAAACATTGGTTCAAACTCAATGAGTTTATTTTCAGTATTCGTTCACTTATTTTATTCAGTTATTTTTATTACCTAAAGCTATTTTGAAAAGGTTAGACAATAATCACATTTCATTTTCGTATGCTTATCTAAAGAAAAACCAAAGACAAGAAACTAACATTCAGCAACTGTTTCCCCATTTCCCTAGAATTTTATTAGATCTAAACATACCCTAATAATGAAGTAATCCGTCCTATTATATGTTCAATAGCTTATCAATGTATCCGATGAAGTTGTGGCATACTATTGAACCTTTACATGAAATCACAAAAAAAACTACGTTCCTGAGGAGGGAGACTTATACCAGGAGAGGCATATCTTGCTCAACCATTTCCTCAAGAACTGGCATGCATTTTCCAAAAAGATCAGTAACGCCGTCCTGAGAATTTGTTGTAGCACCAGCGGGATAAAGCTTTACAGCATATACAACCCCACTCTGCCCTGTGATATGTCAGCACAGAACTGGATGGAAGATAGATAAAAAAAACAATTTTTGTATATATATAACACGCCGGCAACATAAACTACTCCAAATCAATTAGGACAATTAACTCACGGGCTTGTTTAATTTCAAGAGGACTTGTTGTATCTGTTAAATACAGTGTCATCAGTGGCATAAAATGAGAATTAGGAGCCAATGCTTTCATGATGGAATTCCGATATGCGACAGCTGCAGCAGTAGTGGTGATTGGAGGTTTCAAATTCGGCATAATGACTGCCCTTCCAAAGTTAAATGCACTATATCCAATAAAATTAAGATATTAAGGTGTTAAACTACATGCACCAGAGATGGGATAGGTTAACATCGTATATTAGTATTCTGTGAAGTTTATGGTTGATATTACTAATTACAAATGTTCTAAAAGACGCTAGTCGGGCGCCAGCACAGCGCCTAGCGCCTAGGCGGGGACTACAGGACTAGTCGGAGACATAGATATTATATTTTTATCAATATTTTTGCATAAATATGAATAATATGATACATAATATTGTGTTTTTGTGTCTATATATACACACACACATTAACATGCACGAATGATAGAATAATCACATTTAATAATATATTATAACTAACCACTTAACTTCATTATGTAATATATATTAAATAACATTTAATATAACATTTAAATAACATTTAAGAATATCTACAAACATATATAGTTTATATCTTAATCTACAAATAGCTTTCTTCATATCAATGGTTGAAGTTAAAGGTACATATATCTCTTAGAAAAATAAAAATAAAAATAAAATCAGCGAATCTAGACACTCTAGGTGGCCACTTAGGACCTCTGGGGGGCAACTAGGTGCCCCCTAGGTGCCCGACTAATTCTCCTAGGCGCCAGACCAATTATTCGGGACGCCTAGCCTAAAATCGGGGAGCTTGGCCACTGCCTAAAGCCTAGGCGGGCGCCTAGAGCGATTTTTAGAACCGTGCTAATTACCATTACAAACAGACCTGTGAGAGACTACTGCTTCAAGAAGATGAGCATCACGGAGATGAAGATGCCAATCATCAGGTTGGGTAATTGAGAGCTCCATATTCAATCTATTTGTTTTATTCTGGTTTTGCCCACTCAAGTTTGAAACATGGGAAAATGATGCCTGTAACATAATAAAGTTTGTACTTTGTAATCCCCTAAATAAGCTGTTTGGGTATTAAATGCTTGGTGGTCAAAGAAGTCTTAAAAATATTCATGATTCAGCATTTAAGTTTCTAAACATAACAATTACGCACTTCAAGAACTTAGTTCTTCCAACATAAATTGATGACACCATGAGCTATATTCAGTGGGAAAGTTGTTATTACAAGCGCATCATGAGCAGTAATTCAGTAATGCATGCCAACCTCTTTAACTAACAAGGAATGCAACTCATGTAAATCAGATGCGGTTCAGAAAATCAAGAAGGTTATAAATACCTTGCATGGAAATGATATGGCCTTCATCATAAGAGAGCTAAATCCGGAGGAGCAATCTGCTCAAAACTACGAAGTTCAAGTTTTACTTACCACTGATGAGAAAGAAGAAACAAAAGATAGTATAAGGCATGATTAACACATGTAGACATAGAAACAACTTTGATTAAAATATCATCACCAAGACTGATCACCAAAGAAGCTCTTATTATATTTTCCTCAACTTCATGTTTCTTAGGTGTGTAAAAAGATATAACACATTCACATCTATACTAAATTCAATTGATTTCTGTATTGCTACTTATTCTGTCATTATCACTTCAATTCTAACTATGTTGAAATAAGTGGCATAATACTTGGGGAAAAATGATTGACTAAAATACATTAACACTAAAAAAAGTATAATGGTTTTAACACTAAAGTCTTACAAAAAAAGTATAATGTGTTGCATCTTAAAACTCTATATCCAAGATACACTAAAGTTTTCTTCCTTTTCTTCTTTTCTCTCTTTAATTTCCCATGATTCAATGCTCTCTATATCTTAACAAGAAAGAGTCTAAGTTGAAACCTATCTACAGCATCTCCAACCTAGAATAGAAAGAGAGATATAAAATCATAAAAATACACACTTTCTGAACCTTATTTAGTCAAAAAAGCAAGTGACGCAAATGAGATAAGAGTAATTTAACTTTCCTACAAAGCATATTTTTAATTTGACTAGTTTCATTCCCACACCAGAGGTCCGGAACAAACTTAAACAGGCGAGATGAAATCAAACTACGCTGGTTGTAAGACACACATAGAACAACCATCTACCAGGCCAGTTCATACCAGGCCAGATTTAAACAGATCGAACCAGACAAGATATTACCAAAAAAAATCAGTCGAATTAAAAAATAAAAACATAATAATGAATAAATGGTCGGCTGGGCCATATGTGAAAAAGACCTTCAAGATTATTGAAAAAACCATTTCACAGATAAAAACATATTGAGAAAAAATTGTGAAGGCGTTGATTTGAGAAGGTGTTTTTCACTGCAAACCATACCACAAATCAATCAAGAACTAAAAAAAACAATCTTAAACACACCATAGGAAAATCCCCGCATAAAGAAAACCACAACGTGTAGTGTCCTAACAGGCACTCTACACGTTGCATACTAAACAGAGGTACTTATGTTAAACAATTTAAATCAATTACTTTTATAAGTATTATCTGCTGGATACTTTTGACCAAGGTTGTTAAACTCGAGATCCTAGCACGGATCAGACGGGGTCTAGGAGATCGGAACTCAGGGATCGTAACTCGGATCGTAAGATCCTACAATGCAATATATATACACATAATATACATATACAATTCAATTCACATATATACAATTCACATGTAAGTACAATTCAATTCTATGTAAAATTGTAAACTTTAAATTAATTAATAATAAGGAAAAATTGAAAATAATAATCCCAACTATTGCCGGTCCGCTGAAAATAATCCCAACTATTGATTATTTTTGTATAATCCCAACTATATAGACTATCCGCCAATAATGGTCCATGACCAGATATTACCTCTATAAAAAGTGAATTTTAAATAGAAATTAAGCGTAAAAATTAAAAGTTGAGATTATTTGTAGGGGTTACTTGTTATATCTCATCTCATCCACTTTAGAAACTACAAGAATTTATTCATAGGGACCATTATTGGCGGAAGGTCCCTAAAGTTGGGATTATTCTGGAATAATCAATAGTTGGGATTATTATGAGCGGACCGCCAATAGTTGAGATTATTACTATCAATTTTCCTAATAATAATGATAATAATAATAACAACATAATTTCAAGACTCAAGGCAGTAATATAAAACACTTAACATAGAAGGTCTGGTCGCGTAGAAGGTCTGGTCGCTTGGTCTTCGTTCATCGTAAGTCGCTATATTTGATTTTTTTTTTCAAAAAACTCGCCGTTTCAAACTTTCCGAGTATATCGTAAGTCGCTAAAAACTCTCCAGTTTTTAAAAGGGGTAGTCGCAGATCGTTCAGATCGACGAGTCAAACGAGTTACGATCTTAAACGACGATCCGCCGATCCCAGGCCGATTTGCGATCTTGGATACGATCTGACTTGATTCCTCCTATAGTGTATACAGATCGTAGACTCGTACGATCTTACGAGTTGCCTCGCGATCCTAACAAGTAACAACCTTGCTTTTGACCTTATTTACATGGGCTTTAGTAGAAAGAATTGGACTTCTTAATGGTTTTTTTTTAACGCCCGTGTGAAAGGGGACTCAGTAAAACCGGAAATAAGCCCTCCCCAGGCAGGCTCACTCAGCGAGCACTTTATAGCGCATCCGCGCTTCTGCGCTTTGTGCGACTTAACTGTGCATTAGAAGAGGAGGTGCAACTGGCCATCCATAGGGCGCTGGACCTATCTGTCGCTTCGCCTTGTGCGCTTAAGCGCTCAGGCGCATGACTTTGACAACCTTGGCTGGATGTTTCAATTCAGCTTAATAAGCCAACTTGTATCAACATTTACCACAATTTTGATGATAAGGCTGTCTATTACTTTATTTGAAAATTTAATTTTAAAAATATCCAATCTTAAAGAGGTTTTAATTCATGTGGTGAACTATATAGAACTGTGGGATATATATTATATTTAGAGCTATAGTATATGAATCAAAATGTCACATGAATGAATGAATGATTGTTCTTTACATCATCATTACACTCACCTATTTTAAATTTTATAAGTAAATAATTCATATACTCCCTCCTTATTTATAAGTTCACTACAATAGCATTGGGCACATTATTTAAGAAAGAAATAGTAGGGGTAGTGAATAGTGTAGAAAAAGTAGGAGAGAATGTGTAAAAGTATGAAACAGAAGATAAAAAGTAGAAGTAATGGTAGTTGAGTATTTTTAAAGGAAAAACTTAACAAAAAGGGAAAGTGTAGCAAACTTTTAAATACATCCCAAAAAGGAAAGTGTAGCAAACTTTAAAATACGGAGGGAGTATTATACTACCATTTTTACAGATCGACAATGTAACTAATCAATATACACGTAGTCATTGACTCGTTGTAATTTGTAAAATAAGCAATGGAGTTCGCTTAAGGGTGAAACAAAATGAGACACAAGAATTGACAACGATAGGTGACTTGCAAGCTAATACTGAGAAATGTGGAGGCAGAAAAGTAAATGAGACCCAACAACTTTTCTACGGAGTATTACTAATTTTTAAAAAAAAATAGTAACTTACTCAATACTTTTCCACTAAAATGCCATGAGTTGCATTTGGAAAATGAAAATCTTAAATGTGATAGTATTGAGAACAATGGTCACTTTATTTTAAAATCCCTTACTGGAATATTCCCTCTGTGAAACTTATGTTAACTTCATTTATGTTGTCTAACATTCTAGCTTTGTCTATGGAGTCTATTGTTAAATATAATTCTTAGAGGTAGTAAAGGCAACTATAAGATATTCTGAAAGGAGAATAACAATCAAAGCAAAGTAATTGAGTTTAAGCACTAAAAAATGCAGCCCAAAATATAATGAAGGTATGTGTATCACATACTTATTTTTATTCTTTTACGAATAGAATGGGATTTAAGAACATGAAAGCATTATGAAACAATATATTCCATGTGTTCTTCGGTATGTCATTTAAACAATATTATATTGGCATAGGAGAAGATGGAAATATAACAAGATAGTAAATGGAATTTAAGCTTAGTGGTTTGTCAAATATGAGAAATGCACATTTCTTTTGAAAGTGTGAGAAATGCAAACTTATGTCTTGTAAATGAAAAATACAAGAGCAATATCCAAGCTTTATTCTAAAAAGATTTTGAAGTCATTAGATAAGAAAGATATATATAAAATCAAATGAACTGAAAAATAAAAGATAAAAATAGCATAAGAAAATAGAAAAGAAAAAGAGAGAAGATGTAAAAATTATTTTTCCTCACATACACTCTACAGAGCAATAACCTGTTATTCAATAAATAGGATTTAACAAAACCAGTCAATAAAAAATGGCATGGGCTAAAATCCTTACCCGTAGAACAGTGATGAAGGACAGGAGAGAGAATTTCCAATTAATTAGTAGATTCTTCAATTGCCATACCTGGCACTTCACATTAACGATTCTTCAGTTGTTTATTGAATGAAGATGCCATCTTTATACGCAAGCAACATCATTAAAGATTCTTCAGTTGTTTTTAAATATATTATTTGTGTCGACGTGTTGACGCAAATAACAATAACAGTACAGGTCTGATCGGTGTTTTCTAGTGAGTAAAACGTAATTGGCTAATCCGAAGAAAAATCAGACCACGAGTATCGCCTCTCAAGGAGTGGGGAAAAGGAAGTTTTAAATACGATCCGTGATCACAGGCTAGCTCAAGTCATGGTAATCTTTCCAAATAAATTTTTCTTGGGTGAAAAAAAAAATCTAAACAACTACCTGCGAGTGCAAAAATAAAAAGAGATAAAAAATAATTAAATTGATTCTAGATATTAAAACAGGGTTCAAATTAGATGATTCGGGTTCTGGGTGTTCTTTCGGGATTAGAATTAAGTAAATTAATTTTCAATTATTCCTGGAAAGAAAATGAAATAAATTCTCATTGACAAGAATTAAATCAATATTTCACAATCCTAACTAATTTCTAAAGTCAGATTGCTTGTATAAGACCTGAGCTAATTTAACTCAATTTCTCATAGACAAGAATGGAATTAAATCCAAAAATTCATATATGAGGTGATCAAATTCATATAGGCAATTAGGATTAACCTTATACAATTATCCAGAAAATTAATTGAATTTCAAAAACTAAATTCACACTCTCACGAACCCTAGCCCCAATTCAAACCCTATATGAAATTAGCTACTCATAATAAAAATTAACATCACGATAACATTTACAAACATGATACGGAGCTAGCAAAAAAACCGGAGTATGACTATTTAATGGGAAAAAACTGAAATTATAAGTTGGAGATAAACAAATTCAAGATCCAATCCAAAAGTACGAACTAGTAATGTAAAAACTGCTAACTCTTTTAAGAGTAGAGGAAAGGAAAATCGTTGCTTAGTCTTTGTGGTAGCTGCTGCGGTTTCGGAAGAGAAAACTGCTGGTTGCGGCTAATTGAAAAAGAACAGAAAGAAAAATGCTCTCCTGCGGCTGCTTGTATAAAGAAACGAAAATGGAAAAAGAAAAATGAACTGCCGCTACTAATTGCTTCTCAGGGCAAAAAAAAAACTCACGCCCCTTTTTTCCTTTTTGGGCTACTTGAAAACCCAGCTCTTTTTTTTTTCTTTTGTTGGGCTGCTGTGCCCGTTAATCTTAACAAGATTCTCAAAATGTCATGTCCAAACAAAACATGTTATTCACCGCAAACTTCAGTCTGTAAAATCACAACTCACTACACCTGTTAATAATATACAATTTTACAATCAAATGATTCCAATAATGTCAAATTGCGTACGAAAATACTACACTATAATGAATGTCACCGGGACCGAAAAATAACAAATTTTCACTCAAAATCCCCAATAATCACCTGATTAATTATAAAAATTAGACAATTAACACCCAAAATATGGGTGAAAAGATAGGAACGGAACGAGCCTATCAAGGTCCATATTTCATCCGCATTTTGTATTTGCTAATCATACACACCTATTAATAAAGAGATGTTGCCAACACATAATGTCAACACATCATACATCACTAATGTCAACAACATATAAATTCATTAAATGTCTAGTAAAACAGAGTTACCTACAACGAACATCAATTCATTACAAATAACATCATCTAAACATAAATAAATCCATGTTCATTTCTCTTCAAAAAAAAATCCATGTTCATTTAATCTTGATCGTCTTCATTATGACTCTGATCAGTTTGGTTAGCACTTGATGTCGAAGGAACATCATTTGCGGAGTTATTTGTGTTCACTTTAGTCAACACAAAAAAGTTTGACGCAGATAATACTTTTTATTGTAGTGTGTTTACTGTTTAGTACTTGAGTTTAATGAATGAATAAGCATAATGCAAAAGATAGTAAGGATATTGAATTGTATAGTTTGAGAGAGGGAGATATTATAACTCAAATATGTTTTTACTTTATAAATTATAAATGGGAGGGAGATTAATTACTGGGAGAAGATTCTTCCTTTATGTGAAAACGAGTCACCTGTTTACTGGTTAAGCTAGCGGATTTGCAATCTGTGGGAGTGGTGTTTAAGCCTTAAATCAAGGGCCGCTGTAAATGAACAATATTTTGCACTCGATTTGTGATTCAAATTTGTGTTTGACTATTTCAATTCGAAAAACTCAAATGACAAATACAAACAGTAATTCAATTCGCACATTTATCTGATACAAATGTAATATTACTGTGTAAAAAGTACCCGAAGAGAATCTCAAAATAGTGCACGAATTCAAATAAAGTTGTAAGAACTCAAAAAGGAAGAAAGATCACTTTATATAAGCTTGTGAAATACTTACATTTCACTCTATCTCATTACTCAACCTTAACCCCCTCTTTGGTTAATACGTGAATATGAGGGCTAACTTGGATTCGGGAGATTTAAAATTTAAGATAAGAGAGGATTTCGGAAATCAATCACCTTTCTCCCTTTGCTTTCTACTTCCTCCAATCAAACACGCACTAATCATCCATTTTCCTCCCCTCTATTTTAAAATCCTGGAATCAAATAGAACCAAATTAAGAATGGGGTTACGGTGAACCATTGACCCAACTATTAAGGTGCTCCTGTAATAACCAGTAGGTCAGAAGTTCATGTCTTGTATGTGTCCTCTTGCCAAGGCAGGATAAAGGTTGTATAAAAAAACACATTGCCTATTTACCTACTGATAAGTCCGTATTTTGACACGTATTTGATGCGTGTTGGGATCAGTTTTGATGGTTTTCCCTAGCTTTAAGGTGTTGCAAGTCTCAATTTTAGCTCAAGTTATGTTTATCAGACATTGGTTCGAGTTTTGTGTTGTTTGTAGTCAAAATCAGGGAATTTGAGCCCGGGTACCGACACTTGAGGAACAATCGGGATGATTTGAGAAGCATTTGAGAATGATTTGATAGCTTTGGAGGTCACCGGAAGATTCACGATGAAGATTTGAAGGAAAAAGAGCTCTAGGATTGGCTTCGGGATCAAAAGAAGATGAATGAAGCTTGAAAACGACGATCAGAATGACCTTCTGTCAATCGTTCAAGCTTATCTCTTTGTAGGAACAACCAATGGACACGATTCAAGTTGCATAAGAAAGCCAACTTCAAGGGATACAAATCATATGAAGACACCTTTGCGAGAATCTGAGAGGAAGAAGGTGAAAACAGACGATGAAGTCAGATGATCTTTGTTGCGATTTCAGAAAGACACCTTCCACCGTTTTGATCATATCTCTTGATTAGATGATTCAAATCACATTCGGCAAATTGGGGTGGATAGAGGACTTCATTATCTACAACTTTCATGAAGAAAGTTTTGTCAAATTCGGAAGTGTTACGCACGCCGTGCGTAGGGGAACGCACGACCGTGCGTCTGAGGCGAGAAAAGCAAGGTAGCTACTGCCAGCTACGCACGGCCGTGCGTAGGGGGGACGCACGCCGTGCGTAGCACCGGGTGACGCAAACTTGAATCCCAAATCGGCCCGAATTCATATTTTCCCCCCTTTTTCGATAAATAAGGCCTCCCTAACCCTTTTTGATGGTTACGAACATTACGGAGAGGCCTAGGGACGAATTTAACACCGTTTTTACGCTATTTTCTTCCAAGACCCTGGGATTATTTGTAAGTTCATCTTTTTAATTAATGACAATTATTTCTATTCATCTCAATTCTGTTGATTCTTCAATTATGAATTGTGAGTAGTTTAATTAGGCATTTGGGGTTGATGAAGGGGTTAATCATGAGTGATGGCTAGATTCTTGTTGGTTTAATTGCATGAATGCCATTTAATTTGTGTTTGAATAATTTAACTGATATCTTTTGTAACCTGGAACCGCGGCTAGAATTACAATTGCTTGTAGAATAAATTAAGAGAGATCTAGTTTATTCTTGGACACATTCACACACACTTAATCGTTCGCTAAGAGATTAGTAACGATTAAGTGGCCGTAAGCTCGCTCATCTTGGCAATAATTTAGGATCTTGTCGCATGAGAGATCAGTCTGGTCCCCTAAATTATTGTACTCTTCGCCGCGAGAGCGGTAAGAACTTAGTAATGATTAGCTAGACTCAATTAAATTAAATTCATGTAATTAGGCCTGATCTGCCAGAAGTCTGGTTACCCCGGAATCAATCCCTGTTCCCTTCGTCGTTAATTAAGGAAAACCAAATCTTTTTATTCGCTCGTTAGCATTAGTTTTATTTCAATCAATCAACCAATATCGCACAATTGCACTTTTATTTTATTTATTTCTTTTTAATCGCTAAAGTTTAGTTAATCTTTATTTCCCTTTTGTCCGTCCCTGTGGAGACGATACTCGTACTTTACACCACTTTTCTACAACCATTTTAAGTGCGAGAAAACTCACATCACCTACCTACACACTTGCCAATTTTATTCTAGAATAATGCTTCACAAAGGAACATATGAACACATTGCCCATTTCACTTATTTCACTTATTGCCAATTATATTATAGCAATTAAACTTGATAAGGTACTTCCAACCATACAACGCCAAACCCCCCCTATCAGGCTCTGCATAGCCAAACGGCCCCCCACTCTCTGACTAGAAATAGAATAGACCACCCTGAATAGAGCGAGACTATTCGCTAACCATGTGAGAGCTTCAGAGCTTTTAACGGTCATACACGTCTTATCACTTCCACCCACAAAATTGTCTTGAGCAAAAAAGAGAAAACAAACTAGCAACCTACCGTTATTGTTCACAACAAAAACAAAGACAACATATTTAAACGAAATGAAATAAACTCGAAAGTAATAAAATGTCTTAAGGCCTCCTGCCTTATTTATTCCCACGTGTTGTGAGGGGATAGGTGTCATATCTGTGCCTGGCGAGCCACAAAGTTGTAGCTCGCCTAGCTCCTCCCCGTTTTTTGTTCTGGCCTGCTCTATCTCCATTTCCTCCCTAACCGGGTGGCCTCTTGAATCCTCCACACGTCTGCGCTTCTGCTTGAGCTTCCCTCCCTCCTTTTGTAAAGTCCCGCCCTCCAAAACGCTTGTTTGTTTGTCCTCTTCGCTACTTCCGCTATTAGCTGGTTAATAATGTTGTTTCCTTTCCCTACCGGGACGAGGCATTTGTTCTCCCTCAATTGCATTGCCCCCTTTGTTGCCCGAAGCCACGGACCAAACGGCTTGTCTCTGATTATCTCGTTTCCCCTCTTCTTATGAGGGCAATGGCTCTCAGCGTGTCCTATTATTCCACACAGGAAACAGAAACTAGGCAGTTTCTCATAACGAAATTTGACACAGAAGCCTCTCCTTCCTCCTTTTGCAAGAATAATTTCCTTTTCAGAGGTTTCCTAGATCAATCCGGACACGAATTCTCATAAAAGGTTCCCATTTCTCAGAAAATTGTGTTCATCAAATTTTATAAAAATCCCCAAGAAATTCCCTATGCATTCCACATTATCTATGGTGAAATATCCAACTGGAATGTCATGGACTTAAATCCAGAACTCAGCTCTGTCCAGTTTAACAGACATAGGAAGATCACCTTCTTTCAGTCTACTCAAGACAATTAGGTTCTGGTAAAAAATCCATGGTCCCTCATCTGCTACCCAATTTATATCCTCCTCATCATAAAATTGAAACATTTATCTTCTAAGACCGATTTCGGTTATGGTAACTCCCTTCTCAGGTTTCTGCACAGATGCCACAATATCCAGAAAACTAGTAAAACGTACCGATCTTTCAGACGTAATTGTATCAACCAGAGCCATGCAGATTGTGCCTAGAAGAACTTTGTGCCATAGGCTCCACGATCAGGAATTCATCTCTCTCTTCCATTTCCATTTGTCCATACGCATGTGCTAACGCTTCAATTTCCTCCATGGTTGTATCCCTCCTCCATCGCGTCCAGCCGCCACAGAAAACTAAACCCGCTGATCACCAAAGTCATAGAAAAGGTTTGAATTGGGATTACGTCAAAACTGTATGGATATATTGCTTTGAAACCACAGAGTCGCCTGGTTCCTTAGTGTTGCCGGTGATCTATTGTCGTGATCAAGCTGCCTGCAATCTTGCCGTGGAGATTTCCGTGGAAAGAATTGCGTAAAAAACTTACGCGGCCAACCTAAACCCTAGCAACGACGCTAGACCCTTCCGCTGTTATATTACTTATTTTTAATTTCCAGTTTTTTTTGTTTTCTGTTTCAATCTTTTAGTTTTTCGTTCCCATATTTGAACACACATTTTCTGTTTTTTTAAACTCAAATGTTCAATTGGGGCATTTTTTAAAGCCACATATTTTTTTATGATTTATGCATCAAAAGGTACAAATATACCCCTCTAGTATGAGTGTGAGAACAAATATATCCATATTCTATTTTTTGGAACAAATATACCCATGTAGTTTATGTGAAGGTGCATATATATACCCTTGAACTTTTAAAAAGTGCAAAAATGTCCCTCTTTCATATAAAGGAGCAAATTTACTCCTATTGACTTTAAGAAGGGTATATTTGTGTCTTTTCCCAAGTTAGTATTAAAAACTTATTTATTTTGGGCAAAAAAATTATGATATTTAAAGTAAGTTATACAACAATACAAAAGTCAACATCAGAATCACCGATAAGGAAGACCCCAGGACAGTGGAGAGGAGGTAGCATCTGAAGAGGTTAGGGCAATCAGCAGTGGAATGGGGGAACGGAAGAGGAGGCAGACCTGGGGCGGACAGGAACATGAGCAGGAGCAGACTTGTTCACAGAAGGACGACATGGCTCTGGACGAATAAAAAAAAATAGGGAAGAGGCGGGCTGACACACCCAGACCCGCCACCTAATATGAAGATTGGGAGCTCCTGGCAGGTTGGAGTTATTTTTTGCTCAAGACTAGTTTTTATTTCAGTTGTTTTTCCTTTTGGACGTGTTTTATTGTTGCTTGTTTTTGTTTCTACTTTTGCTAAGACTCTAGAGCTTAAGAAAGGTGGGGAAGAGCCTAGTTTACCAGTCAATGGCTCAAGTATGCCCAATTCAAGATCAATGATTCTGGTTACTTCTTTTGAGGTGACAGATTCTATGTCTGGTTCAAGGGCAAATGGTAGGCATGAGGTTCTTAGCCTGTTTGCAACCTGCTTACGTTCTTTCTTATTAATATAAACCACTTTCTTAAAAAAACCAATACAAAAGTGAAAATTGATATTCATAATTTAACAAATAAAGTAGATTATTCAACCCACATTGTTACATATATTTGGTAAAAATATGTGGTTTTAAAAAGAATAACCCTTGTCAAATACCCGAGTACGAAACAAATATAGGACATACTACATCATTAAGTATTTCCATTTTAGAAAACACTAATAAGTGACTTTTCACACTTAAGAAGAAAATCAAAATCATGTATCCGTTTTTCAATTTTGGAGAATAAACTGATAAACGCGTTTTTCCCTCCAGTTATTTGGAAAACAAAAAACAATCTTCTACTCTCTGTATTTTTAGTTTTGTTTGTTTTTAGAATTAATTTCACTTTTAGTCCAACAAGTTTTATGTCATTTTCACATTCAGTCTATGTCTTTCACTTTATTCACTTTTAATATTTGACTAATATTTCTTGATCATTTGTTATCATTTTCGGACGATTTTAATTATCAGAATTATTGCTGAAAAGACTATACATGAGCGAAAATATAATAATTTATCAGATAAAGTTGAAAATACATTGGTCGTGTCGAAGATGAAATTTATACAGCCTCCTGCCGCTGGCCCGCGAGTCCGCGACACAGCCGGCGCGAAGTTGAAAGTTATATGCTCTGAGTCTCTGACAAGTGACAACCACGCCACCTCTTCGCTCCTTCCTTCCGTTATGGAAGAATTCCCTGCAAAATAATTCAACATTTTCTGTTTACAATGGGATCTTCCCTTATACCTCAGATGCCACTTTGCACCATCTCAAAACCCTAGTTCTTCGTAGAATCGCTAATTTTTAATCTCAGAGCTCACGATTTCTCTGTTGGGTTTTAGGATCAATATCCAATTGAACGAAGGATTTTCAGTAATCTATCATATTTCACATATATATATATATATATATATATATATATATATATCTATATATTTTTCGATGACACAACCATCGGTTTTGCTAGCAACAGGTAGTTATGATCACACTATTCGATTCTGGGAGGCTAAAAGTGCCCGCTGTTGCCGTACCATCCAATACCCAGAATCAGTAAGTCGTACAAAGCCTCTCTTGTCGTTTTTTCTTTATAGAAAAGGGAAATTTGGTACTTTGAGAGGTATTAACTTCTTCCATTATTCATCATTTTCCAGAAAATTCCTGCATTAATACATATGGAGTAAAATTTGAATTGTAACAACTAACAACATATACATAAACGTTGGTCAGAGATGTTAATCGAGGATTGGAGAGGAGAGGTGGAAACTTTAATATGTCGTAAGGGACATGGATTTGAAGTAATTATCTTTCAATTTATATGTGGAATCTGATTATGCATCTTGTATATAACTTCTTGTGCAATAGCAAGTTAATCGGCTGGAGATTACACCGGATAAGCGATTCTTAGCTGCAGCTGGAAACCCTCACATACGTTTGTTCGACATCAATTCAAACAACCATCAACCTGTACGCATCTGGATCTTCCTCATTTTTATTGTCCTTCAGTTGTTCCTTCAGTGGTTTCAAATAAACAGTATATCTATGCTTCTGTACTCTTTGGTTTTTCCAATAAAAATGTTGCTTCAATCTAATGCAGGTACAGAGCTTTGATTCACACACTAGCAATGTAATGGCAGTAGGGTTTCAATGTGATGGGAACTGGATGTATTCTGGTTCGGAAGATGGCACAGTAAAGATTTGGGATTTGAGGTGGCTTTAGATGTCTACCTTAACGTGCACATGATGTATCATCTCAATTGTTATTGTCACCTCTTATTTTATCACATTTTTGAATAAACAGGGCACCTGGATTTCAGAGAGAATATGAAAGCCGTGCTGCTGTCAACACAGTTGTTCTGCATCCAAACCAGGTTTTGTTGGATTTTTTTCTACGACAGTTGCAAGCCAGCACGTGTTTGGAGAAACTTGTTTTTGCATTTTAGTAAACTCTTGTTTTTGTTTTTGTTTTTTAGTTTATTTATAGGTATTTTCCTTAAAAAGTTTTTGATCTTTTCCTGCATTAAATGCATAAAAACATCATGATAAAGCAATTTCCAGTTCCATTTCTGGCACTGGAAGTTTTTCTAAGGAAATATTTTCCTTTATTTGTAAGACCTTTTGTGGAAACTGAATAGCTGCTCTGAGAAAATAACAAAAGATATTTATCTGAAACAGTTTTTTTAATTATCCAGGATAAACATTACTCCGTATTATACATAGAGTAACATCATCTATGACAAGTTACTTTTGCAGAAACAAAGGAAGCCTTTAATGTCATATTCTTTTCTACTGCCATTTCTCAATGATTTCTTACTCTTGAGAGTAACATCTCTCCCTTGTATTCATCATCTGCAGCAGAAGCAACACCTTTCCCTCATATTATCATAAATGTAGTGTCAATTAATTAATTACCTTAAATTACATAACACTGTAAAATCACTTTACCCTCTGATGCTTAAAAAATGTTTTCTACAACAAAACAACATAGGTGTAAGCAGGCTTAGGCTTTATTGAATGCTTATCTTATTTCACCCTCCCTTATCTTACAGACGGAGCTAATATCTGGTGACCAGAATGGAAATATTCGAGTATGGGACTTGAAAGCAAATGCGTGCAGCTGTGAGTTGGTATACAATGATAGATTTTTTCTTGTTGTCCTTCTGGAAACTTACATCTATTGTAATATGAACTTAATGTTGGATTTTTCCAAGATGAAACATTTTGTATTTGGGAACTCATTATTATCCATTTATTTGTGGGTTATGCTGTATTTTGGAAATATATTTTCACTGCAAATCACTATCATATTATTTAGTGTAGCTTATTTATATATATATATTTTGGAAAATCAGGTTCCTGAGGTAGATACTGCGGTTAGGTCTCTGACTGTAATGTGGGATGGAAGCTTGGTTGTAGCAGCAAACAATCACGGAACATGTTATGTTTGGCGTGTATTGCGTGGGACCCAGGTGATCACGCTCACCACCTTACTCTTTGTGCAACAATTATGTTCTAAAAATTGGCAAAGTTTCCTTTTTAATTTTGACCTCATCACTTAGCCACGGCCACTTAGCCACTCATAAATTGAGGAAATATATGGGGCCTCCATCCCAAAAATTATGATTTATGTTTTGCGAAGGTACAAAGTTTTTAATTTTGGTAAGGTGCACTACCATAAATTTCGATTTATACTTATGTTTTTAAATTTTTTTGGTTTAATTAAATTTACCTTGTGTAGTTTGTTTTTGACTCTTTTTGACATTAAAATGAAATAGTAGAGAACAACACTCTGTTTCCGGTGTGGAGTATAGTAATATATATAAAGTTATTGGTTCCTCTAATTTATTGTTATCTCTGATTTGATTAAATTGGTTCCTTAATAAAATAATTTTCTTCTATAAGCATCTCTTAGACACTAAAATTGTTTTTTCTTAACCTCTTTTTTAAAGGGATTGATATACAACATTACTGATATTTGATATTCATTTGGTTGAAGACTATGACCAACTTTGAGCCCCTTCATAAGTTACAAGCACACGATGGATACATCCTCAAATGTCTCCTTTCCCCTGAGTTGTGTGAACCTCACCGGTTAGACATTTTATCTATGCTCTCTGTTTCCTTATATCCTTTTCATTATTGTTATTTTGTTCAAATTTATATGGATTTTGGGCATAAGTTTTTTATCCTGAAAAATGCTAGGGAAATTGGGGAAATGCAAGAGTGTTGCTCCGTATTTTTATTATGTTTTTTCCCTTGTAAACATAAAGGAAAATGAAATATGAATAGTTTTTTGTTTTACGTAGACTTGGGTTTTAGATATCCTAGCCTTTATATAGTAGACATAAAAAAACTAAGTATTTGAAAGTATTCTAAATATATTTGATGATTTCCTAGCTGTGTTCTTTTTTCAGATTCTAAATGGACCCTTGAGAATACTGTTATCTCAAAGTTATTTGTTTGTCATATATTTGAGTGGTAATGTGTAGGTATCTGGCAACAGCATCTTCTGATCATACTGTCAAAATATGGAATGTGGATGGATTTACCTTGGAGAAAACTCTCATAGGTACTTAGTTCTTAGGATACTCAAAACGAGCATTGGGTTTTTGTTTTCCTATCAATATAACTTGTTTTACCTCCCTTATTTCAACTTTGAGTTTTTCGTGGTATGCTAAATGTGAGCTGTATCTTGTGGCATTTGTGTGTGTGTTTTAGGGCATGAGCGATGGGTTTGGGACTGCGTTTTCTCCGTGGATGGTGCATTTCTTATCACAGGTACCTATCTGTGGTCATGTTTGGCATACCGAAAACCAAACTAATAAGCTACTTATTGGATGAGTTTATTTACTTTCCATAACTTAATAGCTTACAACTTATAGCTGATAAGATTGCTGATTTCATTTAGTGTTTTGTAATAACGAGTTAATAGGATAGTTTTGGAATATAAATTAACATAAAAAAATATGTTCAAGTTCCCTTCCTCTGAACCCAAGTTTGGCCTTTTGCAATACACCATTGAATTTCCAAAATTCTAATCATTCAAAACAGAAAGTGGGATTTTTTAGTAGTTTTCTAAGTTGTACAACGGTGAAGCTTGTAAGCTGTAGTCGAGTTTGATGTCGTCTTTGCAGCATCTTCTGACACAACCGCAAGATTATGGTCAATGTCAACCGGCAAAGATATCAAAGTGTATCAAGGCCATCATAAAGCCACAGTCTGTTGTGCTCTCCATGATGGTCCTGAACTTTCTTCTTGCTGATAATTGATAAACTTTCATCATCTTTGTATGTAACTTTTTTCTAGGTTGTGATGTTGCTATTTCATCTCATTCTTCTCTTTTAGATGAGCAATAGATTTCCTCATTTTATTAGCATAATTAGTTGTTGGGCAGTGTAAACTTCACAAATCGGATCCAGCATGGTATAAAACATACTCGCCTAATTATTTCGTAGTTTGGGCCTTTAAATAAAAAGCTTTGCTACTTTTACATCTAATATGTGATATAAACCACATAGTAATTTTATAATTATTCTATCATCATTATCATTATTATTACCCCAGTTCCGCAAAGGCTCCCACCTACGGTTGGGTAGGGAGGGGTCGGATGTACGCAGTCTTACCTCTGTACTAAAACATATAAACTGTTTCCGGATGACTCATAGTGAAAATTGCGTCAAAAATTGCATGGACTGAGTGACTAACTGTTGCTTCATAACAAAGAAGCGCAGACAGTTTAGTGAGCCAATTTGCTTTATTCTATCATATTATCAAGCAAAAAAAGAGTCTTTTGCTCCATTTTAAATTATAGAAATTTTATAATTATTCTATATAATTGCAAAAATGTCCTCATTTGAGTTTAGTATATCCTTAAAAATACTATCATATCATTGCTAGCTATGGATTGAAAAAATGAAAAATTGAATAAAAGTTGGTCTTTAAAAAAATTCTCATAGTAAAAAGGTTCTCAACTTCTCATAAGCACCGTTACACACATAAACAAACATATTACAACAAATTTGAGAGATCATACCAAAGTGAGAAGAAGCTCTTGTTTGGCCCGGTCTACATGGGTCATGTGTATGGGGTAAAGTATTTAATGTTCAGCCCGTCTTGTAGGCCCAATTTGTCATGACTCTTCCTGGCCCAACTTATTAACTCCAATAAATAAAATCACCTCTAAATATCCTTAATTGGACTGCTTTTATTCTTAGATATATTAGATCAGAGTATCAGACTGGGGGTGTTTGGATCTGCTTCTTAACACTGTTTCTGCTTATTCAAGGAGCAGTAACAAATATTGGAGTGTTAGGATGAAAGTGCGGAAGTACTTTTAGGTGCTCCAAATTGCATTGAAGCAGTTTTTTAGAAGCTGGTGGAGATCAACTTTTGAAAAACTTATTCTGATTCTTCTCGTGCTTTTGAAAAAGAAGCAGAAGTAGAATCAATTCCAAACACTCCTTAAATTAAATTTAAATACACCAATTCATACCAAACTAGAAAAAAATTCAATCCAATTAAAACCAATTCAAATTAACCCCAAGTCTTTTTAAGTTTTTTGGCTTACGGCCCGAGACCCACTACCCTAACCTGCCTGTGGGGAGTTTGCATAGTAGTATTAGTAATGTTACTAATACTAGAATGTTTTTAATTGGACCGGTTTCAATATCAAACCAGAGTAGACTCGATCAAACTAAATATGACTTCGATAGTTGTAAAATACACACAGGACATCTACCAAACCAGATCAAACAAGACATGTTTAAAACAAATCATATCAGATTTAAACATATCGGACACGAAAAATTCATTGCTGACGTTAGCGGCCGCTATCACCGACAACCGAGCACACACATGAAAAATTCAAAATCCTTTCTATGTTTACAAATACATTGAATACTTTTTTAAAAAATGAGTAGTACATTAATATGTTAAAATGCATACAATATGTGCATGGCTAAGTACTATGGAGTATATAAAATACATGAATACGACTCCACAATGGAGAAATACATTAATCTATCAAGTTATGATAAGCTATAACACGAATGTAATACACTTCCTTTGCATTCCATCCAATCAAACATAATACGTAGTATATTTTAAGTTTTAACTAGTCAATTGACATGTCTTTAGAGAAAATCAATAGCTAAAAGGTTGGTCATGATTGGACACTCAATTTGAAGATTTCATCAAAAGCATACTGAATGGATGACTTTAACTTGTCCGCATCTATAAAATCTTTCTCAAAGACAATGGCAAGTCTAAGATTTCCCATGTAGCTCACCATTGTTAATGATAAACTCTGCAATCAATTAAATGAATTAAATATTAGTCACACCTCGGTCGTAACCTCCTCATCAAACACATATTGGGAGATTTTACCTTGCATATATGCATAACTTGAATTTGGTTATGCAAACTTCGATTGTGGTCATTAGATCACTTCAGTGGTTCACATATCTTTCTCATTGGTATAATTTACTTATTTTAGCAGTGGATTCTTCAATTTTTGTTGGAGATATACCCAACCCCAATTTCTCTTTCGCATATTTTACACTTATCTTTTTTTGAGGGAATATTTTATACTTATCTAACAATTAAGATTGATTCATTATTAAAAATGAAGTCATTTCCATAAAGTTTAACCCTTCACAAGATATAACATCTATGATGAATGCTTGGTGCTAAAAAGTTAACATTATACATACACATTACACACACATGCATGCATGCATCCATCCATACACGCATGCATGCATCCACACATAAATACAAACATACATACGTACACACTTACACACACACAATATGCATTAGGTAGTACCAAAATCTAATATACTTCACATGTTCGTTTTGGTTGCAAGATTGTAAATATTACTGTATTATATTATTAATGTGCAATGTTTTGACTATTTTTATTCATGCATATTGGTTAGAACATATTACTTTTGCACTATTTACATATTTTACCTTCATTGTATTCTATGCAGTATTTGTTAATGTATGACCAAATTACATTATGAATTAATAACTAATTAGATATGTTTATGATCAAAGTTATGAATTAATAAATGTAAGAGCCAAAGTATTGCAATGAATGGGAAACAAAAATAAAGTAGCTAGTATAATCTTTTTTGTATATTTAATTTAATTATATAAAAATAAATATATTATTAGTCAAAGAAGTATAGTGATAAATATGTTGATATAATTAAAATGGTGGTTGGTATTTATGAGTAATTAATTGTTGTTACTACTCCTACAAAATATGTATATGCCACACAGATACCTGTGGAGAGCCCGCTACAAAAAAATATATGTCTTTGACGGGATGATTAATTACAGTTGTTTCTTCCACCGGACCTATCATGTTTGACATTGTAATGCTTGTGTTTCTCAACATTCCATGTAGATATCCTGATGTTGCCTGCATTACTTTCGATTTAGTATAGAAAAAATTGCTCCTCAAATCTAAATTTAAGAAATTCTAATAATTTTAACATTATTTAAAATTGGCTTATTAATTTACAAAAGACGTGAAAGAGATTTCACCAATCAATTACTTTAAGTTCCCAACATTGTTTGTACATTTTCGTACATACACAAGAAATCTTCATCAATTAAGCCAGTTCGTCCACTAGTCACATGGCAACTTCCGGAATGGTTGTCCCTTATTTGTCAACAAATTTAGATTCTTAACAAGATACAAATATGCACAGTGTTGCTTTTGGAAAGGCATAACATTGTAAGCAACCACTCAACCACTCAATCATTAGAGGAAAATTTTCAAATTCAACTTGTTGACTTCAACTTAAGACCCCTCACAAGGAACATAACTTTAATCGATCTAATGGATCCCATATTGTGGGGAGTGATCCACTTGTTGACTTGGATCACTCCCACACTCTTTTGTCGTGTGTCACATGTGTAGTGGATAAGTAATTTTTGAAACTATTTTCTCCATTATAAAAAATGATGACATATACGTAACCTATATTTTGGGAAGCCAAAAATGCGATTACTTTTATTCTTAAAAATGCGACTCACCTTCAAAGGTGTAAATGAAAATAAATTTCTTCACCCTCCAACATGTATCCAACACACCTCAACTATCGCTTCCGAAGATCACTGCCTTGAAAATATTTTCTTTTTTGAAATTTGTCGAAAGAGCCACCAAAGATAGTCACCAGGCATGTTTGAAGGTGGAAGTGATACTTTTGGCATCTATCTTTGAAATTTTCTATATTTACTCCTTTGACTTTCATAAAATTGACACTTTTGATCTTTCAACTATTATATAGTGAATTTTTTAGTTCTCCATTTATTGTGCCAAAAAACTCATGGGACTACATGTGGGGAGTTTTGAAGTCGATGACTAAAAGTGTCTCGCATAGTAGTCAAAGGAGAAAAAATAGAAAAATTAAGTCGAGTACAAAAAATGTCAGTGACAGAACAATCAAAGACTAGAAGTGGAAAAAACTCCTTTAAAATTGATCTTCAATAAAGTAGTACTTTTAAAATTAGGCTTCAATCATATTCTTCTTTTCAAGTACTAAGTAATTATTTAACTAAACATCAGCCTACTGTCCTTTCATTTTGTCACCAAATCTCTTTGATCTCCTCTATTTCAATGTCTATCATAGTGGTCATGGCGCACGGCGATCGCCATGGCTCAAAGGCATCTTTCATGGCGCATGGCGATGGCACATATATGAATGGCGCATAAAGCGCATATGGCGCTATGGCGATGACCAATTTTTCATGGCGATGGCACATATGGCGCGCGCCAAATCTAGCCATTGACTACTATGATGTCTATGGGTTGCACCTTCCACAATCACCACCGTACTATGTTAGTATCACTGATGGATGGTGAATGATTGTCCCTCTCGTGGCTTGTCAAATTGAGGATGATATGCATGTTCGTTGGATCAGATCTTTAGACACGTCCTTCTTTCAAGGTTCGTCCTTCGCGGTGGCAAAATCAAGTCTGATCATGACATCGAATGATTTGTGGATCTAGTTACAATATTGTTGAAGCGGTAGGCTCTCTTTATGGTGGCTAATGAAGTTGGGCATGGTTGGTTGTTCATGTGGGTTATTGGTCAAATAAATGGTGTATGGTGAGGGTTCTATCTATTACTTTCCTTGGCGGGTGGTCTGGAAAGTCAATATGATTCGTATCATGCTTATAATCTTAGAAGTAATAGAGCCCTCAAAAACACAATGTTGGCAATCTAGGGGCCTGTTTACTAACAGAGATATTTTCCTATTTTCAACTTCTGTTTTTCGTTCTCCAATTTTCTGTTTTTATTTTTCAGTTTTTCTATCTCCAATTTTCTGTTTCTATTTTTTAGTTTTCCATTTTCAAATTTGAAAACATGTTCATCAATTTTTTCACACAGTTCTCCTATTCCACGCCCTTGACCCTTACCTCTACCCTTACCACGATCTTACACTCTACTCATACTCCACCACAACCCTTCATACTCACCCATACCTACTCGTAG